ACTATGACACTGTTACTGGTGGTATCCTTTAGTTTGACAACTTCAGGAAACTTGGAAAAATAGTCTACACATAACAGGAACTCATATCCCCTGTAATGAAAGAGATCAGTACCTACTTTCTGCCATGGTCTGTCTGGTACTGGACATGGGACTAGTGGCTCTCTTGGGTTGCTGTTCCTGTTCTCATTACAAATTGCACACTAAGACACCATTTCCTCAACTTGTGCACACATTTTTGGCCAATAAAGCAGGCCCCTGGCTCTTTCTTTGCGTTTAACAATTTCCAAGTGTGACTCATGAATCTTGTTAAGCATTTCTCTTCTCAACTGATTTGAGACTATAATTTTGGCTGCATTGAACATCAGTCCAGACATGTGGGTGATTTCATCCCTAAATGGCCAGTTGGGCTGAATGTCTTTTGGAACGGTACTTCTTTCCTTTGGCCATCCTCTCAGTGTGATGTCTTTCAATAACTGCAGCTCTGCATATTCTGAGGTAGCTTTTCTAAATGTCTGCAACTTTTCCTCTGATATTGGTAGCTGAGATGTAACCATGTTCACCTCCAAGTCCTTTTCCAGCAGATCCTCTTGCTGTTCCTTTAGGAATGCTTGACTTAATGTGTCTGCAATATGCAGTTGCTTTCCTGGCCTGTACATAACATTAAGACTGTATTTTTGCAGCCTTAGCAGCATCCTATGTAGTCTCATTGGAGTTTGGTGGAGAGGCTTTTTAAAAATGCTTTCCAGTGGCTTGTGGTCACTTTCAACCTGAATTTTTTTTCCATAAACATACTGATGAAATTTCTCACAGCCGTAGACTATACCGAGCAGCTCTTTCTCGATCTGAGCATACCTGCGTTGACAATCCGTGAGGGGTCTTAAGTCATAAGCAACTGGCTGTCCATCCTGCAGTATGACTGCTCCAAGACCCTCTGAGCTTGCATCCACTGACAGTGTGATTGGTTTATTGACATCATAAAACTTTAAAGTTGGGCATTGGTGACCAATTGTTTGAGGTGTTCAAAACTTTTTTGTTGTGTTTCCTCCCAGTGCCACTCTGTACCTCCCTCAAGCAGCTTCCTTAATGGAGCGCTAATGCCTGAGATGTTAGGTATAAATTTGGCAAGATACTGGATCATTCCCATGAATCTCAGAAGCTGCTGTTTGTTCTGTGGTGGAGGAAGCAGTGTCACTGATCTCACTTTCTCCTCATCTGGCCTTAGTCCACTTGAACTTAGTATGTGTCCAATGTATTTGATTTCAGTTGTCCTGATAAAGCACTTACTTTTGTTCAGTTTTAGGTTGTACTCCCTCACTCTATCCAACACCTTCTTCAACCTCTGGTCATGCACTTCTTTGGAATCTCCCCACACCAGCAAGTCATCAATGATGTTGACAACTCCATCCAGATCCTCGATCATGTGTGCCACCAGCCTCTGAAACAGCTCTGGAGCTGACGATATACCAAAGGGGAGTTGGTGGGGGCTGAAACTGCGCCATACTCATCTACCACTGTCTACTTCTGACACCATGTTATATATTGGAGACTGGACAACCAACGTTATATTTTAGAGCCGTTTTTAATGAACACTTGCTTGTGCCTCATACACAACACATAGATAATTCTGGAACCAAATCAACAGCCTTCATCTGCCATGTCATCTATGATGGGTATCTTCAAGGCTCAAAATCCCATTACATTACATTGGTCACCAGAATTGCATGGAGATCATCAGGAATTTTCATCCACTCCTCTTTGCAGACCTCCTTCAAATCTTTAAGGTTTTTAGGCTGTCACTTGGATAGATAAAGCTTGAGTTCCCTCCATAGATTATCTATAGGATTGACGCTCTGGAGTAGGCGATCCCACCGGCGGGATCTGACAGAAATTTCGCCAAACCGTTTAAATAACTCTGTGAGTTTTTGTCATATACACATTTCAGACCTTGTGCATGTGCAAGGGCACATATTAATGCCAAAATAAAGATTAAATATAGACAAAGGTTCATAGTGCATTTTATAATATTAATGACATACAAACAGCTTACCTCAGGGAAAATAACATCCATGATGGACTTTATTTTATGTCCAGGGAAGGTTGGCCATCTATTGTCCAGGACTGAGTTGAAGTACTGGTACAACCTATCTATTGGCTCTTCATCGTCAAGGTACACAGGCATCTGGTTTTTGCTTCTAGCACACCATCTTTTGACCCACATAGATGAAACATATCTTCCAATGATGTCCTAAATTTGTAAATTCATAATTTCATAATTTAGAACATAAGATAAAGAGATCATTGTCCAAAAATAAATGATTCAAAATACAAAATCATGAACAACAAAACTATTAGACAACATACAAGAAGATGAGCCTCTGCTCTTCATTGGGTCACTATGGGGTGAAGCAGCTTTTCACTGTCCTGTTCCCAGAAAGCCCTGGCAAGTTCAGCCTCCCTGCTGGTATTCACCCAGCATTCTACATCGGACTGAAACCAGTTTCATTGCAAATAATGTGTACTTAATTGTATAATACAACTCACTGTAAAACACTATGGGTAACACTTTACTTAAGGCCATGGTTTTCATAATTTATAAACGCATTCATAATACATTATAATGCATTCATAAAAGACCCAATATATACTTCCATATTTCCATTGGGTAAGAGGTGAAGGACAGGTGTAGGTCTACTTATAAAGCTTTGGTTGCTGGCTGGTATGTTGGCGTTCACCCCTGTGAATGCAGGGAATGAAGGGTTCTCTCCCTTCAACTTAGAGTCGAGGGATGGGTTCTGAATGCTGTCTGCTTATGCACTGGACATCACTTCAGAGTATCCAGCCAGCTTCTAGACCAGTGTAGCGCCCCTGGTTCTACACTGATAAGGACAAAGGTGCCACATCTACCTAGGTTCGGGAAGAGGTACGCTTTGACTCAACTCACGAGAGAAGCTGATGAGTTGAACAGCTGACAGTTTTACTACCTTATAATACAACATTTACCTTTGTATAAAGAAAAAATGGACTAAAGGAAAAGCCCTTTTAAACTTTATGCATTCACTGTGTGTTCTGAGAACAGAACATAGTTTTTTTTTTTCATTTTCATTTTCATTCCATTTAAATTAGGCTTATAATCTAACAGTAGCCATGGTTCAGGGTCTTCACCCACTGCCATGAAGAAGACATGATAGCCAGATATTGACCTTACAGGATGCTCACCATTTCTAGGAAAAACTGAACAGCTGTGTTGTTTATTAATCTGTTAATCCCAAAACAGATGATTCTGTACATTTACAGTCAGTGTTGTGGGAATTACTCACATTGTAATAAAAAATGGAAAAAACAGAAAATGTCCTAGCAGAAATTTATCAATAACTTTCCATTAAATTTACAGATATTTCCTTTAGTCCTGAAATGGAAAATTCTGTAGATTCACAGCATATCCTATGTCATGGACATGGAGAAAAGGTGAGAGCGCCCCTAGTGACTATAGGAGTACTGTACCTGGAGCAGATATAATGGATGGAGGCCATATTGCTTTCAGACCACAACGTGGGATAGAAGAACAAATCAAATCATTTTGCTCATTTAATATTCAGATTCATAAAGGCTTTATTTTCAGAAGCCCCCCATTATTGAGGATGGTATGTCACAGATATCATTTTCTACCACAATTTATTGTTATTCTTCAGGGTCCTGCTGGTTTGATACAGTTAACTGCTGTATGCATCATGACCTATTTCCTTTGATACTGTTTTAGTACTTGTTGGTGTGCAGCTTTAAAGAAATCCTGAAGGATTTTTTTCAATGCATGCAGTACATTCCAGTTAGTGTGATCTAATTTTGATGCATTCATCTTGTCTAGATTTAAACTGCGTAGATAGCAAGTTACCTGTAGTGAAGGCTAACCAGTTCTGCTGCTTTTAGTAGTGGGTCAGCCAAAAACCTCCCTCCCGCCCCCAGCAGTCTCCAAGAGACAAGAGACCACATACAGAGTACAGAGGATAAAACCTCCCACCCAACCACTGAAAGGCACACAAGACCCCAACAAGATCCATTTCTATGGGTACAGACAACATATAATGGTTCTATATCTGGGGGGTTATATTTATATCAAAGTCAGTACCATGCCACGCTATCCAGCACCATTCCCTGGTCTACAGGGAAGTGGGTGGTTCCAGGAGCTGCATAGCAAATGGCATCACAACTCTCCTAACATAATTCTAGATATATAAGACCAGGGCCGGTATTCATAAAACTTCACTCTTAAATGCATCACAATTCTAAGAGTGACATGATTTTGCTCATACTCCCAGACTTAAGAATAAGTGGCATGCATAAACATTCTTAAGTGTTAAGACTTGGTCTCAGCTCCTAAATTATTTAAGAGAGCTGGAGAGGACTCCTAAACCAGTTAGGAGTTGCACGATGGCAGAAGTACTGCGCACCAAGACGGAGACCGCGCACTTTCCGTCAAAGAAAGGACGTCCTGCAGACGTACGACAATAATGAATCGATAAAAAGGTACAGGCTCGATCATGAGGGCATTATTTTTGATATCAACCTATTTAGGACCCGGATACAATCTCCTACGTCACCTAAAAAAGCACTTACAGTTGAACTGAAAATGATAATGATGCTTCGTTTTTGGCAACTGGAAAAATATAATAATGGAAAATAATAATAATTATTATTATTATCATCATCATCATCTATTATAGCGAGTGTCATAAGAGCAATATAAGTAATGACACAAACCTGTAGCTTGCATGCTTGCTTTATAAACTGTGATTTCCTTTGAGTTGAACAGTGTTCCAGATTAAACAGGAAATTTTTTATGTTTTTAAATGAGACGTGATCAAAACTCACATTCATAGAATTACAACATGTTATTAGTATGCCTACCATAAACATGTGTGTGTGTGTTCTACGTTATTATTTATACGTACGTTTAATGTTTGCACAGGTATTGTTACCCCTTGGCTATTCTCTATGGAGGTCACGTGCTATGTACGGTCGTTTGCGACAGCACGGGAAGGGGCGCGAGACTACGCGAGAGCTGAGCAGCGGAACGCATCCTAATTTCGAACCAATACCCTGTAATTAGGTGGTAAGAGTGCTTCCCATTAATCGATATTGCTGATGGTGCATTCAGTTCGTACGTATGCAAATACGTGAAGACTGCATGGAGTGGGTTTGAGTCGATTCAGCGCGGATGTGTAATCCTGTTGCTATATTAGCTTGAATAGCGATATGGCTATCGATTAGTGCAAAATGATGGGTATTCTTGACAGCATTTTCTGAAGGCATTAACCAGTAAAAGCACCAGTAATCATCAAAATTAAGTTATATTTGTCGCAATGCGATCAGAAGATGGGAGTGCTATTTATGCTGTACGTGTGTAGGCTGATGTGAAATATTAATCGTTACTTATTCATACATCAGCTCTGGCAGGTACAGTAGGTGGTGTCTTGCCCGGCCAGTAAATCATTTTAGGGTTTTTTTCCTGTCCATTTCGGTGGAGAAAATCTTTCTGGGGAGTCACGTTCCACATATTTGTATAAATGCTTACTAATTCAAATAACTAAATGCTCAGATTTTGAAATCCCATTATTTTTTTCCCATTTTAATATTAGAAAACAACGATTCTTTAAAGAAAGCATTCATAACAATTGTTTCACGTGCTAGTGAGGTTATGTTTTCAGAGCTGTTTTCAAGAATTTTACTTTATCATATGTAATGAACAATTACTGGGAAACAGAAGAACGTTTGATCTGTTTTCCCAGTGTCAAGGAATCTGCCTGAGGCCACAGGATACATTTGGTGGACCGACAGCTTTAACATCCAGCAGCCTACCAGTAGAGGGGGCTCTTTACATGCTCGTTCCAGTAGTGTAAGTTTGTGCCAGCAGTGAAGAGGAGTGCTTTTGTTTGCGCCAGGTCAGCGGGTTGTTATGGAGGTGTCCAGCCACAGCCTGTTCCTGTTGCAACAACTGAATGTCCAGAGGGAGTTTGGCTTCCTGTGCGACTGCACTGTGGCCATCGGGAATGTCTACTTCAAAGCCCATCGGGCTGTGCTGGCGGCATTCTCCAACTACTTCAAAATGATCTTCATCCATCAGTCCAGGTTAGAAAAAAAATATGGGATGTTACTAAATCTACTTTCAGTGCCTAGGCCAGTTCATGATACATGCTTAGTGAATTTTTAAAAACTTCAGACACATAAAAGGGTGAATTTATACTCCAACACATCTAGCTAATGGTGCATTTTATGAAATGCAAGCTTATTCAGCAGCTGTTTAATCAAAAATGCCCACTGCAGGATGGGCTCCCCCTATAAGTCTGGTTTCTCCCAAGGTTTCTTCCTACTAGGAAGATTTTCCTTGCCACTGTGACTTCTGGCTTGTTTTTTTTGGGGTAATTGGGCAGGGTCAATGTAAAGCATTTTGAGACAATGTAATGTTGTTCTCTATAAAAATAAACTGAATTGAAAAATGACTCACAAAATACTTTTACAAGATCAGTTTTAAATGAATGACTTGATTGTACTGAAAGCCATCTGAAGTCTGGCCTTTCCTTTTATATAGTGAGTGCATTAAGATCCAGCCCACTGACATCCAGCCTGACGTGTTCAGCTACCTGCTGCACATCATGTACACAGGCATGGGACCCAAGCAGCAGGTGGATCAGAGCAGGCTGCAAGAGGGCATCAGGTTCCTGCACGCTTACCAGCTGTGCCGAGGTGCCGCTGAGGGCCAGGACCCTGCCTCTGACACCAGCAGGATGTCCAACCTCTATGGGATTCAGATCTCCTCCCAGTCAGGCCCCAAGGGGAACCTGAGCACCAAGGAAGGTCAGCCCAGTGTGCGGTTGCGGCCCACCCCGGCCCTTGGCCCCAGGGAGACATTGCGAAACAGACCTCGCACCAGCCTCCACGGCACCTGCTCTGTGGCCTCTGGGGAAGACAGCAACTTTCAGCCTAAAGTAAAACAGGAGGCGCTGGAGTCTGAGGTTACCGCAGAGCCTCAGGCCTCCTTCCCTGGTCAGGGCTGCTTCCGGGAGCGACGCAGGCCACTGCACTGCCACCAGTGCGGGGAGAGCTGCAGCTCTCGCCAGGGTCTGCGGGAGCACCTTTTTACCCATGCCTCTGGCTCCCTGGTCCTGGCTTCACCTGTGGCCCACCTAGAGAACACAAACCAGGGACTTAGTCATGATGCCAGTGGTGCTGAGTCAGAGGGGCCCGAAGAGCACCCCCTACAGTATGGCACAGCAGGGGGGACACTTAGTGATGCAGAGCAGCTGGAGGACACAGCAGCTGAGCCAAGGGGCTCCCGACGCAGAAAGGCTGCCTGCACCACCTGTCTGGCCCAAGGGAGTCAGCTTCAGGAGCAAAGGTCGGCGCTCTGCTTCCGCCATGGACGCTGCCGGCAAGTGGCCCATGTGCTGCGGCCCTGCTGTGAAGGCCAGGCACAGCTGGGGCTGCAGGAGGTGACGGCCATCCCTCAGGACAATGGCGGCTCCTGTTACTCATTAGACTCTGAGATCTCTCAGGAGAGCATTGACACCGTGCTCACCGAGTAACATGCACGTACCAGCCGCTCTCACACTATCCTTTACTCACAGTCGCTTCAGTCACACTAATCTTCCTGTCCTCCTAGCCATACTGTTATTTTGTTAGCCATCCTTTATTATTGATTGCTGATCTCATGAAAACATATTGTAATAAATTCCTTTTAATCTTTCGCAGGTAAATTGCTGAAATACAATTAGGAAATAGGATTATTTATTTCTTTTGTACCTCAAGTTATAGCACAAAAGAGTCTCCTGTGGTTTTAATGGATTTTCTTTTTATGCATGTAATTAACACCAGTGGTTGTGCATTCTTTATTTCTAAACCTCTTTATTTAGTGATTATAAAAATGACAAGCAATATATATTGTAACGGCAACATGTCACCCTTTGCTATCTGTGCCAGGGTGCTTGTGGGTGACAACTGTTATAAATGCTGATTCTGAAGTGCACACTAAAATGGCAGCTACTGTATGAAGTGACAGTAAAATGTGTATTCATTGATGACAACTGATGTATAATTTAAAGAAGTGGTCTTAAGGTTTACTTAGCATTCTTATTCTTCCTAATTTGAGCATTGCTGTGCTTTGCTTGGTGTTATTGTTTTAAGTGTTACAACAGAATGTTGAATGCAGTGTTTATTTGTCTTGAAGACTACTGTAACCATTGAAATAACTAATAATCTAAATAATTGTATTTTTTGTTTGTTTGTTTTCTACATCAACCTGACTTGTGTCCTGTTGCATATTGACATAAACTAAATATAAATAATCTATTTATTCTGGATATTTTGCCTTAGTTTGAACTGTCCCTTGTAAAATGTTAGTGTCCACAGTGTAGTAGACCAAGCTGTCTTTAGTGGTAAATGTCTGGGAGTGATGACAGAGGAGTGTATCTGATTTCTCTGTACTGCTTTGTGCCGATGGCCATAGATGGCATTAAACTTTTTTTGTTACTGCATTATAGTGACTTGATAGATATTCTCTGTCACCTGCTCATTTTGTTGCATACAGCAGAAATGCAACCCAACATGGGAATAGATGATGGAAGTCCATTCCAGTCCAGAGATATTTGAATAATTTTTCATAAATATTTTTTGTGTGTTTAAGTCATATATAGCATACAATAAGTTGTAGAAACAGATGTGGACATATAAATAGAAAAAAATTAGAATAATGATGGCATTGTTATGCAAGTTGTGTGTCCAAACTCATACCAATAGTAAGCTTCATTTATAATGTATCCATCCACCATCCACTTGAAAAGATTGTAGAAGCAGCTTTTTACTCACAGATTTTATATGGGAATGTACAACGAAGATAACTTTTTGATAATGTGTGTGTGTGTGTGTGTGTGTATTTATATTACACTGTGGGGACCAATCCTGTTTTTTTGACATCGTGGGGATCATTTTTCAGGTCCCTAACAAAGATCTGTGAAAACTAAAGCCCCCTCCAATTTTATAAAAAAAAATTTCATATCCTTTTTAGCTTTAATGATGGCAACTGAATGCTTCCTGTAGCTATTGACCAGAGTCTCACATCACTGTAAAAGACTTTAAAATATTTTGCAGAGTTTCAGAGTTGTCTTTCTGTTGCATGGAGTGCCATGGGCCACCAGTAAGCCGTGTTTCAGTGTCAGGGCCCTATTATCTGGCTCCTATTAACAGTGGACGACAAAACTAAAGGAGAACCTCAAACTGAGTATTAAGCAAGAGAAAATAGGTGGGTCTTAAACTCATCATTAGAAGAGCAGGACATAATGTTGGAGAAGAGACTATTCCAAAGTCTGGGGGCAGCTACAGAGAAAGCCTGGTCGCCTATTCTTTTGAGACATGAGTGAGGAACTGAGAGGAGCTGCTTTAAAAACAAATAGCAAAATTTTTAAGTCTACTTTGTATTTCAGACGAGTGATATGTTCTTAATTTTTTGTTCCAGTTCAAAGTCAATCAGCTGCATTTTGAATTAACTTAAAAAGTATGGAACAGGGCAACCCCATATACAGGAAATTACAGCAGTCAAGCCGAGAGGTGATAAAACCAATCTATAATTTCCAGGAGCTTATGAGATAAAATCAGCTCACACTTACTTGTAAGTAAAGCAGGTGCTGGAAGGGGAGTTATAGGAAGAAAGATATTAATATTAAGAATCCTTTTGGCAAATCTGTAGTATTCCATTATAAACCTAAAATTAGCTACATCAAAAGCATTCGAGTAGGTTGCAAATGCAATCTGTTTACAAGGTAATAAATTATTAGATACAAACATGGACAAATTTGTTGGTACCCTTCTGCAAAAAACAAATGAACACAACTATCTCTGAAATAACTTGAAACTGACAAAAGTTTAATGGCATCCCTTGTTGTTTATTCCATATTTTACACAAATCAGACTTTGCTTTTGATTCAGTTGAATATTTTATATAATTAATGAAGCAAATGAAAATGGCACAGACAAAAAAGATGGTACCCTTCATTTTATATTTTGTGGCGCCACCTTTTGCAGCAATCACTGGCAACAAGCGATCTCTGTATTTCACAATGAGATGTCTACAAACAGGTAGTTTGGCCCATTCTTCTTGAGCAAACTTGTTACGATCCATGGCGGGTGTAGCACGGAGCGGGGAAGCAGGCGAACGGAAGCCAGGGATCGGGGAATACGGAGTTTAATCCCAAACACAGAGCACGCAAAACAACACAACATCACAACGTCAATGACCGGACTGGGGATACAAACGGAAACGCGGACTAAATACACTGAACTAATGACAACAATCCGAAACAGCTGTAAAACACTGGGATTCCACATGAGGTTAACGAGGGGGCGTGGCACACAGTAGGATCGGACGGAGCGGGGCATGACAGAACCCCCCCCCAATGGCGCGCACACCGGGCGCGCCCAAGAGGAGGCGACGGACGAGACGAGACCGGGGAACAGGACCTGAAAGACAAAAACCAAAAACATCAACGAGAAACAGGAAACAAGAAAGAGACACAGAACAGGAACAAGGACAGGAACCAAGACAAAACCCGACAAAGGACAGGGAACGCAGACAGACAGACAAAGAAGGGAGACACAGAGGGCACAGAAGGAACACCGAGCGGCGACACAAAGGGGCCAGGAGTGAACACAGGAACCACAGGAGGAACAGAGGGACAAGGAGCAAAAACAGGCGGGACGGAGGGAAAGGGAGGAGGAGCCAGGGGAGCCCGAGAGAGCCCAGGCGGGCGACGGGCAGCGGCCGGAGGGGCCACAGGCGACAGGGAGGAGGGAGCAGGAGGGAACCACACAGGGGCCGAGGGAACGGGACGAGGGAGAGACGGAGGGGACACGGAGGGAGCAGGAGGGAACACCAGCGAAGGTGGGCAGGAGGGGGAAGCCGCGGCAGGCAACGGCGGAGCCGGCGAAGGCGCCGCCGAGGACCGGCACCGAGGCACCGGGGGGGGACCCGGAGGGGACCACCGACCCAGAGCCGGAGGACCCGCAGGCAGCCACCGAGCGACAGCTAGGGGCCGAACGGGCGAGCCAGGGGGCAGGGCGGGCGGGACCCGGGCACGACGCAGGTGTCCCCGCCCTTTCCGGGAGACCGATATGCGGGGACCTGGCCGGGGTCTATCACACCGGGGTGACGGTGGAGGAGTCTCAGGGGAAGCCACGGGGGCAGTCAAGGCAATCCCCGAGGGGTCCCACTCAAGCTCCCCCTCCATTTCCACTACAGAGGGAGGAGCATAAGGGCAGCAGTCCGGGACCTCCTCGGAGACAGGAGCATCGGGAGTCGTGGGGGGCTGAGCTGAGCGCTCGGGGGCCGCGGGGAGAGCGGGGGCAGCAGGCGTGGCCGCCTCAGCAGGCGTGCGGGCAGCAGGCGTGGCCGCCTCAGCAGGCGTGCGGGCAGCAGGCGTGGCCGCCTCAGCAGGCGTGCGGGCAGCAGGCGTGCGGGCAGCAGGCGTGGCCGCTGGCAGAGCGGCGGCCTCGGGCACGCGGCCAGCAGAGGGCGCCCCAGCAGGCGCGGGAGTCACCGGGGGCGCCGCTGCCGCAGAGAGAGCGGTGGCAGCTGCAGGGACAGCAGGCGGGTCAGGCAGGATAGGCGGGTTAGGCAGTGCTGCTGGCAGCACGGCCGCAACAGCAGCAGCAGACGGTGCCGCGGGCAGAGCGGCGGCAGCAGCCTCTGGAACCACGGGGGGCGCTGCAGCCTCTGGAACCACGGGGGGCGCTGCAGCCTCTGGAACCACGGGGGGCGCTGCCCGTGTCCGAAATCGCGGAACCAGCGGGATAGTGTCCTTAATGGACCTGGCCCCTTTAAGGGCCAGGCGCGTCCCGGTGAAGGGGCAGGCTGCGGGCTTAGGCAGCGCAGCGGCGGTGAGGTCACCCGCGAACACCGCCGGGTGGAGAATCGGGCGGGGATTCTCCCAGCGCACAGCAGGGTAAGCGGCGGAAACAGAGACAGCCCTTAGACAGACCTCAGGCGCGTCTTCCCGTCTTCTGTCTCTCCGCTTCTTTTTCCGCGTTCCTGCTGCTGTGCAGCCAGGCACCTCGGGAGCCGGCTTTGATCGCCG